CGCTATGAACTTTGTGACGCAAAGATCCGCGCCCGCGCGAGCGGTTGGAAGCTCACATTATTCATATACATCTTCTTATGCGAATATATAGGTATACATAAATATACACACGCTCTCTCACTCTTCATGTATATATGTAATAGGTATACCAGACATGTCTAGATATGGCTATAGGAGTAGAGCTTAAACGTGAAGACTTTTAGATTGAGATTTCGACTCTCACCGTTTTGGGTTGGCAGTTTGAAGTCCAAGGGTTGGGGCTTACCAGGAACCCCCAAGTACCCCTAAAAGCGATCTATGCAGGTCCTATATATTTGGCGGTATATTTGGGCTCTGCAGAGGGCAGAACTCTGGGCTCCGGCGTAAGGGTTTAAGGTGTTTGAGGCTCCAGCTTTAGGTTTTGCGCCTTCAGGTTTAGGGTTTAGGGGTTTGGTGTTTAAGCTATAACCTGGGAAGAATGCTTCAAATGAGCCCTAAACTCGTGTACAGATGAGCGCTGTCTAGGGGGGATTTTTAGCAGAGTATCGCAAAGTTGTACAGCCTACAAACCTCAGAACCCCTTGTAAGAAACAAAGTAACACGCTACTACGCTATAATACCAGTACCACCAGCTATGGAAACCTATCCATTCTTGCCACTATACCAACGGTGCATGCCATCAAGGCTAGACCTGCTGCTCCCAACATCAGGTTCTTGTCATGAAAAACTAAACACCAAAGGAGGATGCAATCTTACTCTCCATCGGGGACCAGACTACCCCCATTCAAAACATGACTCGTTTGACGTCTAGTCAAAAGTCTATAATTGAGGTTATATATGAGGCATAATATAGAGGACTATCGTAACGCTTAATTAAAAAGGGGGATACCAGGAGTTTAGACGATAGCTCATATATCCCCTATATGTATAACCCCATTCTAGTAGTTTCCATGTTCTTTTCCATTCTCCCTACTAGGAGTTTAATTGATTAGATGATGGCTCATTTGACGTCTACTCAGTCCCTCTAAAAAAGGAAAGGCACGGGTCTTCTTCGCAGCGGGTCTTCTTCGCAGCCCCGTGGAAGGGCCGGCACTGGTTCAGAGGGCTTTCCATAACGGTCCAAGGGCCCGTGGAGGGCTTTGTACTACCCAAATTGCAACCCCTTCAGCTGATTCCTTTTGTAAAAACCATGATTGACCATGTTTGAGCTCCTGGATGCGTCGTAGTGTCTAACAAGTAAGTGTCACTTCCCAACAACCACAATCTCAGAGGGATCCGAGACGCACGCATGAAATCTTGGTGGTGTTGCACATGCACTTCCCGGTGCTTGAGGGAGTGGGGCAGTGAATATGGCGCCTTCATAGGCGACTATAATTGTAATTATAGGGATTCACTTCCCACTCCCGTTGGGCACCAGTGAGAGTATATCCCTGTGGGACTCCAGAGACAAACAGCTTTCATTCACCAGCATGTTCTCATCTTAAAAGGTTTTCCTTGCAAACTCGAGGCCATGCGTGGTCTTGCCGAAAGAACAAGGTAGAAAACAGTAGACATCTTGGAATATGTAACTTGTAAGCGATTAGAGGCCCAAGTAATGTTGATAGGCCTTATCCTTAACTATCGTATTATGAGCTAGATCTGCACAAGACATCCGGAGTAGTACTTCTGACACACATCAAACCAAAATGCCAGATGCTGCCTGTCGACCGTCGCTATTCTTACAGCAGGCACTCCCTAAAACCCTACACTCGGTTTAGGGTTTAGGGATTAGGGTTTAGGGTTGTAAGCCCTGAACCCCATGAAAATAATCTGTTTCATATCTACTCGCAGTTCTAGACACTACTGCTACAGTAGGCCTTTGGACCTGTTGCCGTGCGTGTGTCGTGAAACAGTCAGCTCCTAGGTACCCCAGTAACCACATAATAAGACGTGTGCCCGTTTCTTAATCTGCGGCTTTGAAAAGGAGACGCCCCAATAAAAATAATGGACAACGGGTACTACTGCGGTAGCTAAACCTAAACCCTAAATATGTATGTATATATATATATATATTCTCTGTTTATATTTATCTTTATATTATGTTCACATCTTAATAGCTTTGTTAGGCCATTCGGAGCCAATGGGATACCTCGGCTCTTGCAGGAGGCATCACGCTGCGGGTGCCTGTGCGCAGCGGGCTCTTGGAACTTGAAGCAGGGGTCAGGAGGGGAAATAACCCTAACCCTAAGTCCTAAACCCCAAACCCTAAATCCTACATCCTAAGTCATAAACCCTAAATTGTAGACCCCAAACCCTAAACCCCATACCGGCCCATACCCTAAACCTCAAACCTTGACCGTAGGCACTAGCCAGGAAGCCAGGAAAAACATGTTTCTGCATAAATTTGGCGGCTTACGGAAATCAGGGCTCTCATTTTGGGGGTTACCGGACTATGCCTTACCAATGTCTGGGGTCTACGTACCCAGATTTATAGGCTTCCAACGCAGCGTCTTCAAGGCAATAGAATTCGGTACCCAATCTCTGAAAGGCGGAGGGATGCCTGGAGCTTTAGGGTTACTAATGTTCTGACAAAACCCAACACTGAAAATCTGAAACCAAGAGATCAACTAGCAAGCACTCGCGCCCGTGTGACTAGGAACAAAACTTCTCAATCGTTTCCCACAAGAAGCCGTGCGCTCCGTTCAGTCAGAGTTCTTCTAGATCTGAACTAAGCATAGTCATACTACTTGCTTCTACCGATATGACAACAACAACAACAACAACAACAACAGTCAAGCGTGTTTTCAGATGGGTCCAGCTCAAATGCTTTTGCGGACGCCTCTAACACATATCATTCTTCTTGCGATGAACAACAGAGCTGTTCCCAGACCTTGTAGGTCTGTCTGAGGTACCTCTAGCGGAAGAAGGTCAATGTTGCGGAACCCTGAGCCCGAAACCCGAAACCCCAAACTCGAAATCCTAAACCCTAAACCTTAAACCCTTCAAGGTTGCGTCGTCTGCGCCGGTATCGCCCCATCCGGAAGACACCCACCTGAGCTTGGATTTCAACTCCCTTTGGACGCTAGCTTTCTGAAAATGATGGAACCGCTTTTCAGGATCCTCTAATTGGGGTTTTGGTTTTAGGGTTAAGGATTTCGGGTTTAGAGGGTTTATGGTTTAGGATTTAGGGTGCTTTGGGAGATATCATACCTTGGAAACTATGTAGTTTAAGCCTGCACAGAAATGCTTCTACTTGACATTCGAGCCCGTCGCCAAGCCTATGAATTGCTTCCTCCCCTCTTCTCCAAAAGCCGTCAACTTCATACGGAGCTCTTGAATGACAACCTACTAAACCCTAAACCCTAAACCCCTCAGAATCCTTTTGCCTTTTGACTTCTGGGACTTACCCCTCTGCGAATACTCTTTCGCATGTAAGTGCTCTTACAGCACAAGCCAAGCCCAGAACACGTTTATGAAGTAATTAAATGTTTTTCAGAATCAAAAAAAGTAGGCCCAGCCTCGACCTACGGACGCCTGCGTGCAAACAACCTGCTTGCTTCTCGAACTAGGAATGGGGATCCCAGATAGGTGGAGAGTGCCTGGGGCAAAAGCAATATCAAAGCCGCCGTGGAACACCCCCAAGATCACGTCAAACTCCCCGTCTCAACCCTATACAATTTGCAAACACCCTACACCTAAACCCAGATGGGGCTGCCGGAATCAAAGTTTAGAGGGCGCTATACCTTCTTGGAACCGCCAGTGGTCTTCACCCTCTGTCAAGAGATCAAACGTGAGTAGTACTTGCAGCTGATCCCACAAATTCGCTATACCCAGAACTCCGAGTATCCCCATTGATAACCCCTATACTACTCCCCTATATAAGCCCCTTTAAATTAAAGAGTCTAGACTGTAGCTCAAATTGACGCTGGAGCCTTGCTTCTAAGACCATGTAGAAACTCCTTCTAGAAGGTGCTGGAGCCAGCATGACAAAATTTCAGACGAGAGTTTCTCAAAACACGGAGACTGTTGCGTACCTAGAGGTATGAAGGGAGGAACGTTACAAAGATCTGAAATGAGCCCCCTTTGCGCGGGGATTGTATGGGCATCGTTCTGCGAAACTCCCACAAAAACAGGGCCAACTGGTGAGGGTTTCCCAAAACTGAGGATACTTTTTGGGGCGTCCCTATCATAAGGACTCTAGTGTATCGGGGTCTATATTGGGGTCCCCCACACCCTAAACCCTAAGATTTGGGATGCTAAAAGCTGCACCAAGCGGCGTCGTGGCTCCGTGCCATCCAGCCTTCAGGCTACAGATGAATCGAGAAGTGTACCAAGTTTAGGGCTTAAGGGTTTAGGGTTTATAGGATTTAGGATTTGGGGTTTAGGGATTCTTCGAATATGAAACACGCCCCAACTTCCCCTGATACGTAAGATCTCTTGTAGGAAAATGTTTTGGGGGCCGCGGGTGTTAAACTGGGAGACATCATTGCTGCCCTATAGCACATGTCTTGCAGAAATTTCAGGAATCATTGAAGTGAACAGTTGATGGATGAGTTCTGATAACGCTACTCAGCTTGCTAGCGCGAATATGAATCCGCGAGGCTTGTCAACACAGCAATGGCTACCGGCAGCCATGTCGGCCACGACCTTAATACGACCAACATGCTTCTTGGCATGTTCAATCTTTTCATCAATTCTATTGCTATGCTCTCGGCATCTCTAACGATTCTTCGGAGGGTTCTCTGTGTCGTCATCAAACTGGACATGGCATGATGGTCCTGCGCCCAGGGATGCACAGCCAGCATGTGCAAGAAACCAATGGCTGGCAACATGCGTCGTCGATTTGGCTGGGAATAATTAAGACATGACTGCATTCCCTCTGCAGTTTTGACGTGGTACAGAGACAGGCGTTACGTCCTTAATTTGCAAAAAAAAGTATCATCCAACAGTGGTGCCAAGGCCAACATGCATGTTGTCATCGTTGTCAACAACGAAGTGCCACTGATGACTGCGAAGAGTCAGACGCTCGTCCCTGACTTGTTTCAGGACACCACGGCCAAAACTGCTTGCGGATCCAGACAACACATCCTGCCCATGTACTCTTGCAACGCACGATTCTCGCACAGCGCGTTTTGCAGGACATGGTAGCTTTTCAGTTCCTCTACATCCTTGAGTATGGCAGCTGCCTTCTCCACCTGTCCAATCCGTGCTGCGCGGCGTGCCCGTCCTGCTTCATTCCGGATCTTCCGTGCCCTCTCAAGGCCAACTTCATCGAGCCTCTTTGCAAACTGCTGATTACCTGAAAGCTCGCCTAGCGCCCGGCGAACTTCGAAAGCATTCTCGGTAGTAAGACTCAAAGCCAGCTTAGCCTGCTGTGCCTTCCGAACGAGGCCAGCATCCAACATACTTGATAGAATGAATCTTCTGTGAGGCCCACTCGCAACTTGCAAACGAAAGGCCTTTGCAGTCTGAGTAAGCTCAATGCGTTTGTCCAGCTCGCGCTCAACAAAACTCTGCAGGACGGCCAAGACTGTTGGAAATTTTTGTTCTAGCGATAACCTTATAGACAACTGGCATCCATTCAAATCGATGCTACCTTCTGCATCGAAGAAGCCTGCGACATACTCCCAGCTGCAAGAGTTCTCAACACCGGAATCGTACCGCTTCAACGAAACAAGCTCCTCATGGCATTGCTGCCTCTGTGCACTTGATAGGGAGGGCCATGTAGCAGCTATGTCCAGCTGCCGTCGCTTAGTCACGCTATGTGCAGCCAATCTTGCAGCCGCCAAGCTACTTTTTGACAGGACCCATACCAAGACTGGCTTTTGAAGCCCTTTTCCATCCCCGGCTTTGTAGATGCCACCTCCAAACACTTGCAGAAACATCATTAGAACCTCGGGATGATCGTATGATTGGACAACGCGAAGCTCGCAGTGGGAACCACACGCCTGAACATTTCCATCACCATCAAAAAATCCGGCCAAATACTTAATAGCTTCGGCTGTGATCTCAAGTGTACTGTCAGGAGGCAACTCGGCTTGAGACCTGTATGGCAACCTGTAAGTCTTCCCATGCACGACAAAGGATTCAAGCCGAGGCCACGGCATCTCAGCAAGTTCCGCCCGCAACTGCCTATTCTTTGCCTTCAGCTTCTTGAGGGAATCCTCAATCGAAGCCAGGGAAGGGACTTCGGCTTCGTTTCGGCCTTGCGAATTCAAGTCACCAACCCAACTTGAGCTCAACCAAGCGTAGGATCCACGTGAGGGAGCGAAGTGAAGTTTGCTCCAAAAGGGTCTCAAACTTGCCAGCCGCAACATCAATACAAGGTGTTGCCTCCTGAATGTGTTCGGCGCTCGGAGCTTCTACCTCAACACCTGACATAAAGCAGCAAGCGGTCCTTGCCCTGCCTTTTGAGCCTTCGCAAGCTTACAGCCCACTTCAAGAAAGGCCACCAGACATGCGAGTGATGTTGAAGCTCCTCGGGCCAGCGCCAGAAGCGGCAGCAGACTGTCTTGAACCCCACACACACACACACACACACACACACACACACACACGCTCCGGCGGATGTACGAATCCACTAAGTCTGAACTTCAAGCCAGATTCCCCATGCCTGACTCCGGGAACGCTGCAACCCCCGCAGCAACGCTAAACCTCACAGTCCTTGTCCCACAAGGTCATGCAACCTTTCATCAAGCCTTCTAACAAAAGCATACATGCCCATTAAGACCGCTCTACACCTAGACCGTCCATCTACCCTAAATACCTGTCAGGGACCATAGACCCACCTTTCAGGGAACAAGGATTTTCCCGGTACCCCAAACCCGATCCCGATTTAAGGAGGTTCCTGGTAGGTTCTGCTGTACCTTTCTGAGGTTCCCCAAGCTCTAAGGTCCGACCTAGAGGTCAAACCGGAATCCCTTGACACCAAATAATCCAAATTCTAGGTTAGGATTTAGGGTTCGGGATTTAGAGTCTAAGCTGCAACCCTAAAACCCAAAGAAGGATTGGCTGCTCAGACGCTGAAGGCAAGAGCGCCTGGAGGAGGATATCCTTGTCCCGCTTCAGCGAGCGGTCGGCATGCCTGGGTAAAGGATTAGCGTCTAAGGCGTCTCCACATAGCCATAGATCTACCTGTACAAACCCTTGTACCCTTGTCATAATGGGTTTGTTTTGATCACAAAGCACAAAAAATTCAGAAGTCCAAGCACCAAGGATATGAGAGACCGCATCTAGAACTGGGTAGTTCTTACAAGGCCCGCCCAATCATGAATAGGTTCCCTTTTTCAAGGGTAGGGGTAAGCATGAATTATCATATCCCAAAGTGCTACCCAGTAGCCTATGATGGGTCGTTTGAGGAGGGATCCTGGCTGCGCTGACATGAAGTATGGTCTAAACTCCTAGTATCCCCCTAGTAACCCATACAGTACTCCCCCATGGAACCCCCTCTAGAACCTCCTTTCAGGAGTTTAGACTATTCTACGCATGAGTTTGGTTCTTTAGGAGACCTGGGGGGGTTCTGGGCTCACGGAACTTCTGCAGATAAGCTTATACATTAGGTTGGGCCCCCACCCACTACTGTAATAGTGACCACACGAAGTAGTGGTAAGTACATTAAGGTCCTTATATATTCCCAGTATACCGCTACGAGTGGGTATGAAGGTCCTTATATGATGCACGGTTTTATTTAAGGTCTGGGCAACTGGTCAATAAAACGATGGTGAGTGTGTTATCGTTTTCCAATTTTTGGGGTACATGTTGTCGTTATCGTTTTTGGTGAGTGTGTCATCGTTTTCCAATCAAAAACCTCGCGTCACGAATCCAATGTCCATCCTTTGCATATCTCCTGTGACCGATAAAAAACCACGCATCATATGTTCCTAGTATACCACTATTAGTGGGCATTAAGGTCCTTGTATATTCCTAGTATACCACTATTAGTGGGTGGGGGCCAA